ATATATATATATATGGGCTTTATTAATCTCCATCAATAGGAGAGAAGTATCTCCTACCACTCTCACAATCATGTGGTGGGACCCGCATAGTTATAAAATAAAAAAATAAAAAATAAAAAAGCTCAAGGATCGATGTCTCTGTAGGAAAATAAACCTATCTCCTATGGCATAAGACTAGTTTTTTCCTATATATATATATATATATATATATATATATATATGTGGGAAACAATACTCTCATGTTACATGAAAGTAAATCATTTTCCTACACAAATTCATTTTCCGTGCCAATTAATTTTTCTTTTCTTTTTTAATATAAAATATGGGACCCACATTTAACTTCTCTCTACTTTTATTCTCTCCTACAATCTTACAACCTAAGAAAACTTAAACCCTGTATATATATATATATATATATAGACTTTAATGTTTCTACATTAAATATAGATAAGTTATCTACATTCGCTCCCAAAACGACGTCGGTTTGGGTTGAAAAATTAAAATATTATAATAAAAAAGACTATTATAACTCTGAAACAAATTATAATTACAAAAATACCTTAATTTTCGTCTCAAAACGATTTCGTTTTGGGCTCAATATAGATAAGTTATCTACAGTGACTGTAGAAAAAGTGAACCTATATATATAAAGTCATTTCTACAGCCGCTTTACATACATCAATGACAAATGTATGGTTATGATTCCTCATATTTAATGCTTTCATATTTTGTATGGTTATGATTCCTCATATTTAATGCTTTCACGTGTATATATATATATATATATATATATATATATATATATATATATATATATATATATATATATATGGCAATATTTAACTGATGCACGTGCAACAGCTACAAAGATGTAAATCATATATATATATATATATGATCAACTTACATCGGAAGAATACATCACATCTTAACCATTGTTTTTTGTGCATCTAACTACTAAGATTTATTACGAATTAATAATTAATTAATTAATGAGACCTAATAAATCTTAACCATTAGATACACAAAACTTAACAGTTAAAATTTGGTGTAAGACTTATTATTCTTACACTGATATAAAATGATCTAATCCCCCCACACACATATATATAAAGATTTAAAAGTAACTATAAAAAAAAAAATAATATTTTGGCAGAAGTTCCTACCACAAAAATAGTACAAACGTTCCTACCACACAATATTCCTCCCCTCCCCCTCATTGGAAGTGGGGCCCACTGAAGATAACGATTCCGGCCTTACATTTTACAAACCTTTATCAACCACTTACGGATAGAAAAAGAGAAAAAAATTTGGAATGGTCTCATATATTTTTGAATGTGTAAACAAAAGAAAGTTATGTCAATGACACTTATATTTCCCATAAATCATTCCCGCACATGTTTCCACTTCATTATGCCACTCTACTCTATATCATTGCATTTCTTACTGTCGGAGTGGTGCCCTTTGTACCTCCTGCTTTACTCAGTCATTGCCTGAATATGTGGCTATGTGCACTCATTTGAATTTGTTGAACTCCAATAATTCACATTTAAGTGTCAATCGAATAGTACAACAAACCATTGTCCCTTGTGTGTTGAACAACCAGTTTTACTCTCTATTCTAGTTTAAGATTAATAATGGTAAAGTTTCATTGTATTGGTTTAATAAAAAAATCGAGTTGAAATAATTAGGTTATTTTATATTGAATCCAATTTTCAAAATCAAGATAGTCAAGTGAACTATTATTATTATTATTAAAAGAGTGTGAAGATATTCTTAATGCAAGACTAATCTCCAGTCAAACAGTTGATGATGTAGCCTTAGTGGGTGCTTATAGTGAAACTCCTTTATTGTTTGAGCCTATATTAATTTATGGGTTCGCTTTCAGTTATTGCAGATAAGTTATCTGCAGTAAGTCAATACGACGTCGTTTTGGGACGGAAATCATGATATTTTTGTAATTTTAATTTATTTCAGGGTTATAATAATCTTTATATTATAATTTTTTAAGATTTCAATACTAAAACGACGTCGTTTTGAAAATAAATGCAGATAAGTTATCTGCATTAACTGCAGAAATATTTTTCCCTTAATTTATTAGTAATTTCTTTTTAACTTTAAAGTTTCTAAAACAATTGCAATCAATTTTCTTTAAAATCCCAATTGTTTGTGGATTTACAAACGCAAAGAAATTCTATATTTTCAAGATATTAGAAATACAAAATGTGCTTGTATTTTGCTAATCATGTTATAACTGATAATTTTAAATTGTTTTTTTTTTTTGGTGAGGTATATACGTAACTTTTGGTATGATACTAGTTTTCTACTTTAGCATTAGAAAGTATGGCCACATTATATTGGTAAAGTTTGTCTCGACCAAACAAAGCTACAAACTAAACCTCGCATCATGATTAAATTAAGAGTTTTGCTCTAGTATGCAACAAAAATATCTGATAAAACAGAAAACTAACTTCGAGATTTATAAAAAATGGACTAACGGCAGTAAAAGGTTAGAATAAGTTATGAAGATTTATAAGTTCAAACCTCCGGTTTATAACAAAAAAAATTCAAACCTCCATTGGTTTATATACTTGAAACAGAGAGATTTTTAACTTTTAAGCAAAACAAGAACCCAAATACATAGTAGTAGGTAGTTTCAAGTTCCAACCTGTTCAGAACTGAACTGGTCACATAAACTCAATTCGCTAGGTAGGCCAATTTAAGGGAGTTACACTCATCCATTCCTAAAGTGAAAAAAATAGATTAAAGTAACTTTGGGTTCTAATAAAAATTACGGATACTATTTTAATTTTTTATAGAAAAAAATCGATTTGTAATTCCTCTGAAATTTAAAATAGATTCAGTTAGTTAAAATTATGATTCCTCTAAAATTTAAAGAAGACCTACATTAGTCTTTCAAAAGGATTAACATGATTGTATTTTGAATTTCAGAAGGAACACGAGTCGATTTTTTTAGGAGATTAAATTCGAGAAGGAACACGAGTCGATTTTTTTTAAGAGATTAAATTCGATTCGGCTCCGTGATATTGATATTTGTTGAGGATCCAAAATATACTTTACTCAAAAAACAGGAAAAACTTCATTTTCACCCATTGTGATTTTATGATTTATCATTTGATCCCATGTGATTTTAAACTTATCACTTAGGCCCACCCCAAGATGAGTGCTCTCCTATTCCGACTTCCCTCTCATTATGCTTAAATAATTTATCTTTAACTTCCCATGGTTTCAAAATTTTACTTAGACATCTCGTGGTTAGAAAAATTTTAACTTTGACCCCTTATGGTTACAAAAATAAATATTTAAAATAAAATTTTCCTCTTTATTATTTTATATTCTCACCTAATGAATTTAGGATTTAAAAAAAAAATTAAAAATTAAAAAAAGTTACTTATTTTTATCAAGAAAATAAATTCAAATAAAATATTATTTTATTTTATATATTTTTACCCGATATCGTTATAAAGTTATCTAAATATTTAATTCATCTTAAATGATATTTTTAATTTTAAATATTTATTTTTTAAACCACAAGGATCTAAGTAAAAAAATTTCTAACCACAAGGTATTTAGGTGAAAATGTAAAATCACGATGAGTTAAATGATAAATTATTTAAGTATAATAGATTTAATTGATAAGTTTAAAATCACATGAGATCAAATAATAATCATAAAATCACAATAGGTGAAAATAAAATTTTCCAAAAAAAATCTTTTCTTTTTTGAAAGAAAAAAAAAAAATCTTTTCTAGTTACATTGAATGTCACTCCCCTAACACACATACTTTATGCGCTTGTCTCACACTTAATAAGGCTTACCTTTGTAAAAAAACGTTATGGTTCTTTCTAATTATTGAAGAATCTTCTTCATCTATATACCCCTCAATATTATTGAGAAGATATCTTTTACACATAATTCTCCTTACTATTACTCGAGCCACCGTGCCCTACAGATTTTTCTCATTTTTAATCTACGCAAGAGACCCACTGACGGTCATTTTTTCGTTGAGGTTAGATATGATACGACATGAGACATGTTAATTCTAAAAAATGTTAAATTTCGATGCGTTAAGACACATTTTGATATTATATAATATTTTTAATTTATGTAGTGTATATCATATTTAGTATTCAATAATTTAACAAAAAAATAAAGCTAAACTTATAATACTCATCAATTTTATAAAGAAACATAATATATCTCTATATTTATATTAAACTCAATAAAATCGTAATTGTAATCTAACGAATCTAATAGTTAGAACTCAAAATGTAACGCAACATAACCTTTGAACATTTTTTGAGTCTTTGCAACGAGTATTGGAGTGTCGGAACGTGTCGAAGTATCAAAAAGTGTCGAACACAATATGTCAGAATTTTTGAAATATCGGTACTTCGTAGCTACGTATCATAAAAATAAAATCCAAATGTACTATACAAACCGCTCAGGACCCTATCTTTCGTCAATGTCACATTAGCATAAAGCTAATATGTGTAAATAAGAAAAGTTATTGAATTTAAGAAAAAAACTACAAAATAATTTGTATATATATTTTAAAAAAAGGCATTGTAATAAATAATAATAATGATGATAGGAAGACCATGTGAGGGAGACTCGAAGTTAGATCATTTAGTGGAAGCAATGTGGTCCAAGCTCGGGAACCGTAAAAATCGTTGAATAGAGTTTGATGGTGATGGGTCCGTCCATGTAATACGACCGGATATCAAGGGTTTCCCGCGAAAATGTCCGGTTACACTCAAGGACTAAAAATTATGAGTTGCATCTATCATATGTTAAAAAAAACAACCCTCTATCCTATCGTACCCTTTCCTTTCCTCCATCTTTTATTCCTCACTTTTCGGTACATTTCTTTCCCTTGCCGACACTCCCTTCCTTCTTAATTCTCACCCTCAACTTCTTTTACTCCTTTTTCCCTTCCAATTTTAACATCTTCTTTCATTCAATAACTCACTTCTTCTTGTTTTTCTTTTTTTCAAATATATATATACGTTAATGCTAGACCAGAATGGTCTGTGTGTTATTCTATTCCATTCTACTGAATAAACAAACGCAATTTGTGTGTCTTGTTTGAAAATTCAGTTGAAGTAGATAGGGTGGCTGATGCAATTTGGCGGTAAATTCAGTTAAAAAAATCATGTTGTTCTCGAACCTGGGATGCTTACGACATTTAGGTGCACATTTCTTTGTCTGGTCTTGTTTTATTCAACGTTTTTTAATACCATCTTTTTTATGAGCATATAATATTTGAAGGGTCTTGTCGGTTTTCATCGATCGCTTCATCCAATGGGTCATGTGATTTTTAATGGTTTTTTATTTCCTTCTGTCTCACTGATAAATATATTTTTTTTTAATGGTACTAAGCTTTTGGGTGCTGCTATTTATATTCAAAAATAGTACTTTTCCGGTGTGTCTAGTACAGGGGACATTAGGTTCAATTTCCAATAATGGTAGTAGCTTTGCTTTGCAGAGAATGAGATGGTTCACTCAAGAACTGGGATTATTGTGAACCAGCATGGCATATATTTGCAAGAGTTATTATTGTGCAAATTCAAGGAGGAATTGAATCTAGAGGTGTTTTGGGATTGAACAGGTGAGGTTATTGATATAAGGGCAAAACACAATGACAGTTGAGAGGAGGTTTGTTTTGGTGGGGATTAGAATCGATAACCATAGCAGACAGCTCCTTAACTGGGCTCTTGTCAAGGTTGCTGAACCTGGGGATTGTGTTATTGCAGTCCATGTAGTTAAAAGTTCAGGTAACCAATTTCAAAACTTTTACACAAATTAGCATATGTATTTTTATTTTATTTTCTATTTTCCTTAAACGTTGTAAAAAAAAGTTACTTTAATGCAGATTATGTTTCTAAAAACAAGACCCTGATAGATGGCTACTTAGAGGTTTATGAAGGCCTGTGTAGTGTGCAGAAGGTACATCAACATTTCTACCCCTTATTGTTTCTTTCATTCATGGAATTGGTACATGTCACTGATTTTATTGATTTGTCCTAATTGGATTTCAGGTAGGTCTCACTGGTCAAATCTTCACAGGAAACTCCATTCAAAACATTCTTGTCAGAGAAGCAAAAAAACATGCTGCTCTGGCTCTAGTGGTAGGGTATGTGGAGGCTTTGTATTTCACAACTTCTGTTGTGGGTTTAGTTGTATATGTATTCATTTACTTATTTTTCCTTTTCGGATTAGTCTAAAAAATACTAAAAAGATTTCAATTGCAGGGGTCGATCTTCCACAGCTAAATATTGCGCCAAACGACTTCCACCTACCACCAATGTTCTAGCCATCCAAGATTCAAGAATTGTCTTCAGGAGGTGCACCAATAAACAACTACCAGGTTCTATAACTGTTTCCTTAATTAGGCTAGAGGAAACCAAGTCTTAACTCTCAATAGAAAAGTCATATCACCAGTGAGTCAGTGACATAAGAAACTAGAATAAGGCTTGTTTCCATTTTGTGACAGGTGGTCTTATACTGGATCCAAGACCAAGTTTCTCAAGCATACAAAACCTGAGTGACAAAATAATCCAGTCTGAATTTGATGACTCCCTGGTGGAGAGTGAGAAATCAACACCCCAAGATACCAGAGAATTGAAGGAAGAAACATTTAACGGATCAGAAAGGTGCAAAACAAGGTCAATAACTATGTTTGCTGGTGATCCTGCTGAGCAGAAGCTTGGGTGGCCTCTACTCCGCAGAGCTAATTCAGGAATCTCACAAACCCGTCATGCAAGGGACATGTCTGTAGTACAATGGGTAATGAACTTACCAGATCGTTCACCACATAAAAGTCCTCACTCTTCTTCTTCCATTGAGGAAAATCCATTCAAAAGGGGCATCAGCGATATTGAGGATGAGAGCTCTAAAAATTCTTCACCTCCATCCGTTGAACTACCAAAGGGCCTAGAGGGGATGTTAAATGTAAATTCACTCAATTGCAGGTGGTTCAGCCTTGAGGTTCTGAAGTCTTGCACCAGCCAATTCTCTTCAGGTTGGACCATTTTTGCTTACACTGACTGTTATGACCTTCTTTAGTTTTTAAATGATAGGGACCTTGAATTCCATTGCAGAAAAGTTGATTGGGAAAGGAGGGAGCAATCGTGTATACAAAGGAGTTCTCCATGATGGAAAACCAATCGCAGTTAAAGTTATGCAGTCAACAAAACAAGCCTGGAAAGATTTTTCCCTTGAGGTGGAAATAATATCCTCATTGAAGCACAAAAGTATCGCCCCTCTACTTGGGATTTGCATTGAGGACAATGCTTTAATCTCTGTTTATGATTATTTCCCCAAAGGCAGCTTAGAGGAAAATCTACATGGTAATGTTTCAGTGGTTTTTTTGGCTTTCCCTTTTCACCCATCATTTGAATTGCTGGAAAAGAAGGAAATGATGCTGATATGAATTTTGAAATGGATGTAGGAAAGAACAAGGATGGATCTATCTTGACATGGGAAATGAGATTTAATGTAGCTGTTGGGATCGCAGAAGCCCTTGATTACCTACACAGGGAAGCTTTGAAGCCTGTTATACATAGAGATGTCAAGTCTTCAAACATTCTTCTTTCCCAAGGGTTTGAACCACAAGTAATCAAAGTTTTAAGACTATTAGTATAGAAGAACATTTTGTAAATTGATACTATAAGCATCTAAATTGAAATAACCTTTTGTGTTAAATTCATTATGTTGCAGCTATCTGATTTCGGACTTGCAATATGGGGACCAACAACTTCATCCTTTTTGACTCAAGAAGATGTAGTAGGAACATTTGGTTATCTTGCTCCTGAATACTTCATGTATGGAAAGGTCAGTGACAAGATAGACGTCTATGCCTTTGGTGTAGTTCTACTTGAACTAATATCAGGAAGGGAACCAATCAGCTCCGAACCTTTCAAAGGACAGGAAAGCTTGGTCGTGTGGGTAAGACCTAACCCCATTTAGAGTGAATTTGACTTACTGTTATATGATATAGAATATAAATATTTTTTTTTTTGGGTACAATGTAGAATTTAAATCTATGATTTCATTTTCAGGCAAAACCAATAATAGAAAGTGGGGATATTAAAGGCTTATTAGACCCAAATTTAGAAGGGAAGTTTGATGAGGCCCAAATGCAAAGAATGGTTCTGGCAGCATCTTTATGCATCACACGGGCTGCTAGGCTTCGTCCTAAACTAAACCAGGTATTACCAAATGACCAAATGACACTTAAGCTGACAAATTCTTTATGGAAGTAACATTCCCATTCCCATGTATATTTTAAGAACCTCTAGCTCCTAAAGTTGATCATTTCCAATGTGTACAGGTATTAAGGATCCTAAAAGGAGATGAGAAAGTTGAACATATCTTCAACTCCCACGGTAATGATCACGATGATTCAGAAAATCAAGAAAACATTGATGATGAAGTTTATCCATATTCAAGTGCAGAGTTACACCTGAGTCTTGCATTACTTGGTGTTGACGATGACCGTGCATCATGTTGTAGCACAGATCACAGCAATAGTGAACACCTGAAAGAACAATGGAGCAGGTCGTCAAGTTTTGATTAGTTTCTTTGAATTATAATGCCTCTATAGTCTATATCATTAGTTACATTGAGGAAAAAAAAAGAAAAAAAGAGTTGCACCCTTTAATGAGGTGGTTTGTTGATTTAGAAAGGCAAAATTTTCTTTTTAATTTATCCTACCAATAATGTCCTAATTACGGAATTGCATTTATTATAATGCATGCATCGTTGGCAATGGTTGAATATGTGAATAATTTTTGCTTAACCATTATGTATCCGTTGATTGAAATCGACCATTTGACATAATTGCATTTATAAAATTTTAATGAACCATAACCAATGTTTGAAATTTTCAACCAATAATGTAGGGATTACAATTATGTTTTGGTGAGTGCGGTTACAAAGAGGATACGCTGAGTTCAAAAAAAAAAACATGCAAATTTAAGCCGAAAGCACTATTTTTTTTTTCTTCTTCAAATTTTGGTGGATATCAACCGGTATCTGCGGCGTTACTCCAAATTAGATGAATAATATATACTGAGCATCAATGCACTATTGATTACAGCTTCAAAAACAAAAATTAAAAGATAAGTAATCACATGTTTTATTTTTAATCAAACATAATTTTTTTATAACAAAGAAAAAAAACTAAAAGCTAAAAACTCTTGAGAGCAGTTTTTTTAATATGTATATCAATATTTTGGAATTTTCATATTTATTTTATAGTTTTACCCTTATTCTAAACTTTTATTTATAAATTTTATACTTTACTCTAATAATTCATTCTAATAATAAAATATTTCATTTTTCCACCTTCAAACCATGAGAATAATTTTATTTTTTACTTTACTTTATTTCTTAAGCTCTTTTTTTAACTTAACTTAAAAGTAATTTTTAACTTAATAAAAAAAAAAATGTGCCAAACATACTCTTAAAAGGAAAACCTGACCAGCATGCTTTTTCATTATCACATGTTTTTGATACCTTATTTTGCGAGCCTCATTTGTGTTGTTTAGTCCCCTTCAAATTCTAAGAAGTTTTTAATTATGAATATCATTTATGTTAGTCACATAGATAATTATAATTTACAAGAAATACTACATTTGTAATTTTACCCCCTTTATTAAAAAATTTAACTCCATAATTATTTGTACCAATCAATGCAAGTTCAAAAGATTTTACTAAAATAATGCCTCCATTGTTTTCATGAAAGAATTTGGGGCCAGGTACTGTTTTGCATGCAGAATTATGGACTTGTTTGGAAGGTTTGCGTTTAGCTTGGGAAAAAGAATTTAGAAAAGTGTGGCTAGAAGGAAATTCCCTCTCAACCCAACAGATTATATCTAATGGGTGTCATCAGGATCACCCTTCGTCGAGCTTGGTGCAACGTATTAGAGGAATGTTGCAAAGATGCTGGCAGGTGCAGATTTCTCATGTCCATCATGAAGGAAACAAAGTAGCTGATTTCTTAGCTTCACATGCGTATAGCTTTCCCTGGGATGTGCAAGTCTTTGATGACCCTCCTCCTGGCTGTCTTCAAAGTTTATACAGCGACACTGTAGGTGTTCGCTGGGCTAGGTTCTGTACTTAGGCCTTTTTGCTGTGTTTTTCATTTCCATTATCTTTCAAAAAATAATGCCTCCATTGTTTTCATAAAATCTTTTAAATTTTAAAAGTTGCATTAAATGAGTGAAAAGGCCTACTTCCAAAATGATCGATGGAGTCTTATTTTTTTGCTCCCACTTACCATGCAAAAGAAGGATCGTCAAAATAGGAGAAAGGACGTGATCGAAGGATTAAATATCCTCTTGCAATAGCCAAATAATAGAAGAAAAAGCAACAGAGAGTCAGGAAACAATAAGAAATCCCAAACAGTTGAAAAATTAACAGTAAGTGCCCACAGCCCAACACATAGTTTCAAGAATTTATAGTAATTATGCATATAGCTTTCAAGAATATGTTGCTCCGCGTAATGACTTGTAAAATTCCACGTAAACTACCATATTCTCCAAATGTTATCGTGTCATATTATTATTTTTAAGGAGTTTGAGTATATTAAAAAAAAAAAACTACATAACTAGGATTCATTTTTTCAACATATTCACATGTTAAGAATTGATACTGTTGTATGTCATGAAGTCATAAAAGGGGATTCCAATCGTCTAAATATAAATCAACAATGATTATAGAATATATTAACTTAAAGGCTAAAAAAAGAATAATCATTTTAACATGAGAGAATCTATTCCCATATATCTTTTCATGTCTTGTTTCAACAAGACAATGTGAAAAATATGTCATTAGTTAACAAATTAACGGTCATAGTATGTACCAAAAAAAATAAATTAACGGCCATAGTTTTAATGATGAATTTCATAAATTGAAAATGAGAAAATTATGATTTTAATTGTTGATCATTAATCATATATGAATGAATTATACTCATCCAAAAAATATATATGTTACATATCAACTTTTTTTCAATTTAAATTCTATGAATCATAAATGAGTGATTAAATGCAATCGCAACTTATTGAAGATGATATGGATAATTGAAAACTGTGTAACATTAAAATGATCTTTATGAACAAAAACGGTGATGGATCTCGGAAATGTATCATCTCATATGACACGAGGTAAGTGAAATGAAATCAATAATTATAATTTTGTCACCCTTTGTCTTAATGCATTTTCTCATCATCATTCATTTGTATTTAAATAAGTAAGATATAACTTCCAAGGGTAGCTTAGTTCCCAAGTGTTTAGCAAATTTTTGGAGGGCACAGTATATATCTCTCTCCTCGATTGAGAGATTAGTCTCATTCTTCCTCCGATGACAAAGTTCAATGCATCCGCTGTTCTAATGAGGCCGGATAAACCCGTCAATGTGATATTAAAAAAATGTCATCAAATATAATATTTTTAAATAAAAAATAGGTCATTTATAAACTTTTTCATTGTATAATTATTGATTAATGTATATGCATATAGATTCTGAAAAATTCCATAAACTCCTCACACTCTTTTTTACTCCTTCACTTATATCCTCCCGGATACCATCTCTAACTACTCCTTTTTTTGCTCTATAAAATATTCTATTGTTTTATTTTCTCCCACTAAAATCTCTACAACTCGTTTTATAAGTACATTGTTACACATTATCGGAGGATGGACCAAGTTTGAAGACTTTCGTATCGAGGGAGGGTGGCTAAGATGGGCAGGGACCCCTCCCCCACTGAAATCAACACATTTTTTGTGGGAGAAATAAGATTGAATAAATATGGTATTATAGGAAGGTATCTTTTGAAGGTGGGCAATAACCACTGTCGTGACACCTCATGAACCAATGTCTTTTTACATTATTTTGCACAATGTAAGTCTAATTTTCTTTTCTTTTCTTTTTGAGATCGCCTCCGTCATTCCGAGTTGTGTTAAGAAGGAGCTACGAATCCTCACATTGTGGTCCTTGACAGAACAGGCCCATCACAGCAATCCTAAATCCAGCCCCAAGACCCAAGCGAAACCAAAGGAAACTAGCCCACTTAAATTACTACCAACTCCAAGTAAAGATCAAGCATCATCATCAGTGAATCAGTATAGTCTAGATTGGCAATCATGATTTCATTTCCTTTCAATGTTGCATTTCGGTTTTTATTTTCAATTAAGGCTGCCTTTCAATTTATATCCTTTAACGTCGCAATCAACATTTGACCTTTTACAAGCTTTTGTCTATATACAACGTTTGGAGAAATCATGATTCATGGCAGTGGCATGCTCAAGAGTTAGCAAAGAAGATTCGGTTGTTCGGGAAAGAATGAAGGACGGAGAAAGCAAAGAATTCTCCACAGAAGAGGCTGATCTTCTTGAGAGGAGTATTCGTAGATCTAAAGAACAAGAAGGAAGGAGTGTTGTTTCTTATAAAGATTCTCTGTTACATTTAAATGGAGGGTCAAGTGAAGAGAAGGAGACAGAGGTTCTTGAGAACCTAGGATTTGAGGAGGGTGAAGAATCCCAGTTCATGGAAGAGTGCAACCAATCTGTTGATGATCCCTTCTGCCCCTCATATCGTTTTGAAAAGGAGATTCACAAAGAAAGCTGCAAACCTTGGAGGATGGCAGTTGTTGTGAAACTTTTAGGAAAGCGTGTGGGGGTGAAGTTTTTTCAAAATAGGTTGTTGAAGATGTGGAATTTAAGCGGCTCTTATGAGTTCATTGATATGGAGAATGATTATTTTTTATTTCGGTTTGACAAGATTGAGGACTACAATTTTGTTTTGCAAGAGGGTCCTTGGATTGTAGCTGATCATTATGTAATGGTTCAACGTTGGCGTCCCTTCTTTAACCCTCATGATGATGATTTCAAGAAGTTGGCTGTATGGCTACGTATTCCAGGTCTCCCAATTGAATTCTATACGTCTAAGCACCTATGTAACATAGGTAATCTTTTCGGGAGAACACTCAAGATTGATAGGAATTCAATTCGGAAAGATATCATAGGAGATAAGGAGTTCACAGATGAGCAAAATTTGCCCGTATTTGTGTGGAAGTTGATCTTCGAAAAGGATTCCTGTCTAAATTCAAAATAGGCAACCGTGTTTTTCCAGTGGGCTATGAAGGTTTGCACCTTGTTTGCTTTGCTTGTGGTAGGTATGGTCACCGCCGTGATTCATGTCCTACCCTTGCTCCTGCTTCGACTAGTACTATTAATCAAAGTACTCAGATTCATACAACAATGGCAAACACCACAGTTCAGCATAAGGTGGCGATGGAAGGGGAGGCTTTTGGTTCTTGGATGCTTGTCCAGCGTAACCAGCGAGGAAGAAAGAAGGTCGTGAATTCAGCTATGGATGCTGCAATCAAGGAGAAGGCTCATGAAGTGCATTCAATTCCGAGCAAAAAATCCGCACCTGGTGTAATTGCCAATAATGGGGGGGAAAATCTGGTGCTGTCATGCAAGTTAATGCCAATTTAGGAGGAGTGAATACAGGTGCTGTTAAGAGGGAGATTTTATCAAAAAAAACGGTCCCTAATTATGGCCAGCCAATTGGCTCACGTTTCGCAATCATTGCTGACGTTAACAAAGTTTCAAAAGATGATAACGTTGCAAGGATGTCTAATCATCAGGATTTTAATGCAATTAATTTGCATAAATCAAGCAACATTCCTGATTTGAATCAGTTAACCATCATGGATACGTCAGCGCAAAATATTCCTCAGCCAGCTAAGC